TGGAATCAGGGGTAGGCCTATTATGACCATATTTTCATAAAACTGAATAAAAATCATGACAATTCCGCCAAAATTCGTAATGATGGGTAGCCCTGGGTGATGACAGACTACACGCTTCCCTCACCAGCAGGTGGTCAACTTGGGTAAACAAAAGTGGGTGGAATTTACCTAACATGTTTGGACATTGGAGGGACAAACAAAAGTGACAGGTACAGGATTATGAAGGCTTGTCCACAGTGTGAGGGGCCACAACATAATTTATGATAAAGTATCAAGCGATGAGAGATTTGGGCGGCCGCAGACAGGTAATTTTGTTAGTTCCTTGGTAAAATAAGGCCGCCGCGGCGGACAGATGCCTGTTCTACACAGTGAAATTATATATATATTGAACAAATGGAAGGTGGGAAGAGAAAAGTGGCTGTTTGTACAGGTGGCTGTATTATACAGTGCCTGTCATGGCAGGTTCGACTGTACTTGATTTTAGAAAAACTCAAAACAAGATGAAACCCAAACCGGTTCCCAGTTTTATCGCTATTCAACTGTTATTTATGACAAAGGTCAAGTTACTCCTAATTAGCCATCTCAATTCAGCCAAACTTATAGGGTGATGATAAATCTCTACAAAATACACAGCACTATAACTATAACACTATCGGCTTAACCCCTTTTGTTGTTAAAAAAGAACAACACCAGGTCTATAATTTGATAAAACAATCTATCAAATGCAACTGAAACACAACAAAACTTTCCAGGCACGGTAGCTTACTGCCCTGTAAGATAGGAAACCTCTCTTTGTTTTGGTTGTTTTTTAATAAGAGTTTTACGGCACTTACACCACATATATAGGCCTTGGTGCTGAAGATTAGAGATGTTACAAAAGAGTAGCAAACACAAAAAAAGGAGGAGAGATCAGGATGCGATAGATGTTTGAAAGGAAAAGCAAACCATACCAGAACATCCCTGAATGAGTTGGCCTATTATAGATCTGTCATATCATGTTAAAGCACATCATAAAATATTTCCTATGCTTACCTTCTGACTTAGAATCCCAAGTTGGATCATTATCTTTAGCTTGAAATGTTGCAAATTTCCAACCTAAAACTCCGATTAGGTTCCAGCCAAGAAAAAGGAGAATGTAAGGCCTGTACCTTTGGAGGGTTGTCTGCTTCGATGGATCATTGAACCTGTATTTCTTCATCCTCTCTCTGCATTGAGCTCTGATGGAAAGAAATATATGAAAAGAGACAGTCAGTTTTCAAGATAATAGAGATACATCTGAAATGATACGACATTAATCTAACAAATCCTTTAGCTAGTTACCATCTTTATTCTTTCAAGTTTCAACAGACACCAGATCATACAAAAATAAATTGACCACAAAATAAACAAAAGAGGAGGGATGCATACAAACTGAAAGTATATTCCAGTTCTGGTCCTGATGTTCATTATAATTCTTCAATCTTAAAAAGACAATTTGCTGTTGAAGGGGGTAATTAAGTAGTATCCACTTAAGATCCCACTGCTTATAATCCGAGTTCACTTAAGATCCCACTGTTTTCAGGAAACATAATTTTTACTTTACAAAAGTCACCCCTAAGATCCCACTCGAAAGGTCTACATCTCGATAAGATCCCGCATATTAGATCATAATTTACAGAACAAAAACTCGGGCCGGCACAGCAGATCAACCAAGAGTAAAAATCTGTGATTATTGAACCACCTGTTCCATCACAGATCAGCCACTCTCGTGAATGTGATCATGTCACCGTTGTAAATCTCGATGAAATAGTACAATGTGTGTCCTCACCGACGTGCTTGTTTTCCCCAGTCATTGCACTCGCATAGGAGCTCTCCACCTACATTTACATTTACACGCTGGGTGGGTAGAGCCTACGCTTCAAGTTCACTTCAGGCAGGATTGACCCTGAGGCTACGCGCCCGGTTACCGTGTACGTAGACCCTGAGGCTAAGCACCCGGTTACCGTGTACGTAGACACTCTGAAGAATTTTAAAAGTATTTCAAGAAAAGAAACTTACTTATTGCGTAATTTTGATGAATAGCACAGGATACAGTAGTGTCTACTTAACATTTAACAACAGCAACCCAGATAAGATCGAGCAGCTTCCGTCTAACCAGCAATCTAAGCTTCCATAACAACGTTTTCATCTATACACATACTCTACCATTTGATATTATATAGTAGGCCTACTCCCCACCAAAGGTCCAGGTGCTCGGGAGCAAGGACAACGCGGAATCTTAGGTGAACGGGATCTTAGCCGACGCACCAATGGTTTCACATGTTCAGGCCCCCAATCCAATTGACAAAAATAAAATGGTCTCCCCATATGCAAAAATCAACTGAAGTGACCCCTGGGTAGGTTCAGGACTTTTGTGCTGAGCAAAGAGTAGTCAATCTTGATGACCAATCACAGTGGCATGAGGCATGCCATTTTCACTTATATTATCCCATCGTGAGATCTGTGCTCTTACAGTTGCTCCTCCCTTTTACTGCCCAAAATGTATAGCTTTCCATTCCTGAGGAAGTTCCCCCACCTGTGTTTTGACCACACTAATTAGAATTCAGTCTGTCTCGCAAATTTGAGAGTAGAGACAATTGCTGCAATGGTCAGAGAAGAATTTATAGTTGGATATCTACATACACGGTAACCGGGCACGTAGTCTCAGTATCTACGTACACGGTAACCGGAAGGTCCAAGAGATAGTTCACTCAGCCAAAAAGAGTGTTACTTTTATTGTTTTTCACACAAGTAGGGTAACTCTGTTCGCAAAGTTCGCGCTTTTTCGAAGAGGGCGCACTAGGGTCAACCGCTCTAGAATATACTAATAATCCAGCATGATACCCACTAAATTTCATAGCAGAGCATCCAGTAAGCCTTTACTTTCGCTTTTGTTACCACCCAGAAACTTTCCAGTAATTGTCTGATAACGTAACAATTATTGTGACATGCAGGTTCGGCATTACAAACGTGGTGTCGCCATGAAAATAAATAAATATTTGTCACTGTGTCGTCACTTATGGGGGCAACCTAAAGAAAAGATCGCCATTGTGACCGGTCAATGAACCAGCACGCGTTCTGAGCGCTTCGAAGTACAGAACTCAGGAATGGGGGGAGATTATTGATTTTTTTTCAAGACGCACTCCTGGATAGGGGGAGGGATGGACGCAACACCAGAGGACAAAAAAACCAAACTGAAACTGGAAGCAAATATGTTTAATTTTAGAATTTTGATTACTACTACAACTCTCTGCTAAGTTAAGTGTGCGTTGGTGCAGGCCTTGTGTGAAAACGGCCTAAGTGTTCGCGTTTCATTGGATTGGTGACTGTAAATTAGATCTCTATATTTTAGCTTTCTGTACATGTACAAGAATCGCAGATTTTCAGTATCACTGCATCTTGCCCTCCCACAGTTTTTACACCTCTCACACTGAATAGGTCTACTTGTGCTATTCCTCTGTACTTTGAGTTTGAGCATTAATGTTTGTCTTTCACGTTTATTATATAGGCCTATATATATGATAAGAATCATGACAGTCGATATTCTGGTTCTTGGCTCAAAACAAGATTCATTTTTATATAGTTTATATATATACAGACGAATATGATGAAGGGAAAATATTAATAAGTCGCACAAGACCCCAGGCGCCACCACTTTCTGTACGTGATCAAGATTGTAAATATTTTTTACGTGACTCTTACTTGAAATTATCTCCCAAACCCTCAAATTGGTGTGAAATAACCTTGCTTTGATAAATTGATGGTTTTCATGTCTGCATTCTAGGGTTCAACAGTATAATAACAATGTGCGTTTCGCGAAAATGGGCTTCTCTGGCGATCATCCGGAAAGTTCCTCCTTTTTTAGAATTATGAGTTGAGACCCATGTGATTTACATAAGAAAAAATTGGTTTTCAAAATACTGTGGCAATCTTTGTTTTTGATGGCTCATGATTATTATAGCTAAAATCTTGAACTTTTTGCTACCTTGTTTTGTACTATGTCACTCTTTGGTGCAGAAAAGCAAGCATTAGACTAATTAATACTATAGCCTTTGGGTGTTGACCATAGCTATACCCCCTAAAGATGTACTTTTCCATGTTTGATTTTGACTGTCTTCTCTCTTCCATTAGTTTTAATATGTCCTGGGTCATTCATTTTTTATTTGCTCTTTTAGCTTTCATATTGTCTTATCCAATGAGTATGTTGTGTGATTTGTGTGTGTTTAGAGACAGAGAGAAAATCGTTGTGAAGCTATGGAGATTTTTGTTTATAATGTAACAGTAACTACATGTACAAAGTCATAGTCAAGTCTACTTCTGACAAACTCAACCTCATATCGTTTAATCCAGTGTGTATGTTGTGTGATTTGTGTGTGTAAAACATGCTATGTATTAAATATATAGAGAGAGGCTATTCACACGTGTATATATGCATGATGAGTGTGTGTGTGTCTCTCTCTCTCCCTCCCCCCTCTCTTTCTCTCTCTGAGGGTTTATGTATTTTTGTGTGTAATTGTAAGTGTGGTGTGTGTAAAGATAGTATTAGTGGGTGGTTGGTGGGTGCTCTGGTGTGGTCTGCTCCTTCTCTCCTATTCAACATCTATCATCCTTATCTTTCTCTTCCTTCTTTTTGTGTTTGTTACTCTCTTGTAACACTAACACCTCTAATCTTCAGCACTTATATGACCTTATCGTGTTGCATTTTTGCTAACTCTTACGAAAACAAAAGATAGTTTTAGGTATGAACAGGGCGCTTTGGCGGCAAGCGTAAGTGCATGTATGGTACCGAAGCTCGATCTAATTTCGCTTTCGTTACCACCCAGAAATTTGCCGGTAGCAGTCTGATTAAATAAAACACAACATTTGTAACTTACAGGTTGTGCATTACAAACGCTGTGTCGCCATGAAAATAAATCAATGTCCTGTACTTTCACTTGCGGAAAAAAAAGAAAGTTATACAAGCGTCTTGTCGGGCTCAACATCGTGACCGCTCAGTGAACTGGTACCTTCGCATCACATTGTGAGTACCAGTGATCTTTGGGGTCACCAAAGTTCATTCAAAGTGTGCACTGCGCGAAGTATAGGGCTCCGGAATGGGGAGATTATTGATTTTTTTAAAAGGTACAGTCGGGGAGAGAGGTGGGGTTGAAGGCAACACCGGATGACAAAAACTGAACTTGGAAGCAAATTTTAGTAGGCCCTATTTAGAATTTTGATTATTACAAATAAACTAGAGCTTCCTGCTAAGGAAAAGCGTGCATTGGTGCAAGCCCTGTATGGAATTGGGATCCATCATACTCATACCTAGTAAGCCGTGTTTCTTAACCAAAAGGTCCGCGTTTCATTGGATGGGTGATAATATGTTTGTTTCATTCTTGTCCTTTGTTTTAAGAGAGGTATGACCTCATCAAGTACACATACTTTTTATTCTCTCTCTCTTTCTCTCTCTCTCTCTCCCTCTCTCTGTTTTTTGAGTCTCGTTCTCTCTCTCTCTCTCGTGATAGTATTACATGTTTTGTAAACATCTATTTTAGCTTTCTGTTCCAGATTAGCAGATTTTCAGTGTCACTGCATTTTGCTCTCCCTTAGGAAAGATGACAGGGGGTAGATCGGGATCTTCTTTGGGATTACATTCCGCTCACAACACAAAAATGCTGAGTGAAAAAGGAAAAACGTCAAGGTCAGGAAGGGAGTGAAGCAGTTACCGTGCACCGCACCTCGCTTGAGCGCCCCCCCCCCTCCCAACGAAACAAAACACCCAATGCCCGGTTACCGTGTTCGTAGATAACGAGAGGCGCCCGGTTGCCGGTTACCGTGTACGTAGATATTGAGGCTATGCGCCCGGTTACCGTGTATGTGACATTGAGACTACATGCCCGGTTACCGCGTACGTAGATATTGAGGCTACGCGCCCGGTTACCGTGTGTGTGACATTGAGACTACAGGGTGAAAAAGGAAAAAGGTCAAGGTTATGAAGGGAGCAAAGTAGTTACCGTGCACCTAGCTCAAGCCCCCCCTCTCCCCCATGAAACTAAATACCCGGTTACCATGTTCGTAGATAATGAGAGGCGCCCGGTTGCCGGTTACCGTGTACGTAGACACTGAGCTGACTGAGGCTAGCGTACGTGCCCTGTTACCGTGTACGTAGACAAAGAGGCTACATGCCCGGTTACCGTGTACGTAGACCCTGAGGCTACGAGCCCGGTTACCGTGTACGTAGACACTCCGAAAATTCTTTGCCTGATGCTCCTTTTGTACTTGTACTGCTGCAGAAATTCTTGAGAACTGAGAAAGTCTTTTATACTCCACTCTGACTCAGCTATTCACCAGATCTACCCTTTACTGTATATCAGCATGATCAGTGTACTGTAGACTCAAAAATAGATGGCATTTTTTTTCTTCTTACCACAAAACCCAAGCTGTTCTTAAAGTCTTGAAGTTGAAGAAGATCAAGAACAGAGCATAACAATAACAGCTGAACGACCTCATTCAACTTCCAGTTCCAGCAGAGTCAAGAGTAACTTCCCATTTCTCAGTTTCTCAGCTCTCCTTTTTCTGCATTTTGGGCGTTAAATCTCCAAAGTTTAAAGTTAGAGAAGATATCGAGCGCGGGGGAAAATGGCGACCATCATTGATACAAATTCGTTGGGGTCTGCGAAAGAAGCGACCTGTCATTTTATGCCTTGCACAATTGACCACGATGGCGAAGCGAAAGTTTCTGGATTTTTTTCACAAACGTTTTCATCTGACTCATCGAATGGTAGGTCTAGGTCTTTGCATAATTTGATGAACCACTGTTAACCCCTTGGCCGTGAAGCAAGGGCGTGAGAATAGAAATACGACCACTAGCCTAGATCTAGATCTACCTCTCTCTCACCCCGGGTGAGACTTGCCAGCCTATCCTATTCTCACCCGGTGTGAAACAAGACCTGTTTTTCCTCATTTTGGAATACTGTCTATCGGTGTGGATGATC